ATTGCCGTTGGAGGAGGCAGCGTGTAGGGGGGGAAGAACGGGGGGCGGAGGGGGGGGGAGGGGAAGCGGGTCTGTACTTGAAAACCAGCTCCCCACACATATGTGCTCCAGTCCCCCCCCACCCCCCTGATGTCTCTCTAAGAGGCAGCAGCACGAGGAGGGCAGGGGGTGAGGCAGATCCAGTGCTTGTGGGGAGCCGGCTTTTAAGCTGGCTCCTCATGGGCACCAGCTTCTGCTTCCCATCCCACTTTGCTACCTCTGATACGGAGACCGCAAGGTGTGTGTGTGTGTGTGTGTGTGATGGGGAAGAATATGTGTAGTCGACAAGATTAACCAATAAACCCATGCTTATTGGTTAATCGTGTAGTCTACACGGTGACATCCCTAGTGTGGGGTGTAGGCTCTGGAAGGGAGTTTTAGTGTGAAGGGTGCTTGGGGCAGGGGTGGCATATTCAGGGTCACTCAGCTTGAATATCTCCCCACAAACTGTCCCTGCTGACCCTAGCAGACACATAGCTAGGTGGCTCCGTGCACTGCTCCTGCCTGCAAGCATCACCCTCACAGCTCCTATTGGTTGCAGTACCCAGCCAATTTTTTCCCCACTTATCACCATCCCATGTTACCATTATGTGCTGGATTAAAATAAAAAGCTTTTAAGTGATGGACCTTTCACCATAATATTTAGCCATTAAGACTAGCCTGTTCCAACTCCCAGTACTAACATACATATTGTAGCTTTATGACAAACAAAGTTTACAAAATTACTTCTGCTGGGATTTATTTAAGTGAGTTCACCATTGCATGGATCAAAAAAAACTCAGCTGATTAATGGTTTTAACCACACAGTTTCACTGTTATCAGGACTGTCATCTACTGCATGCAAGAGCTAGGCTACCTATTGCTCATGACACTGAAGAAGGTAGGAATATCCTCCTCTTCTTCTCCCAAGTGTGATGGAGCTGGTCCACTTAGAGAATACATTGCCGACTGCAGCGATTCGTTAGCACTGTTGCTCTCTATGGGCAGCATCTTGCCGTCTCCATCATCTTTAACTTCATCACCTTACATTTGAAAGAACGGAAACCTCAGTTACTGAAAGATACCAGTTATCTAATTTGGATGAGATACTCCGAGTAGTTTTTCCTCTTGTATAATTTATTAATGCCGTATTCTATGGTTTTCAGAATGAATGGCTCTATTGGTCTCTGCATGCTCACTCTTCTATTGTGAGTAGGGGACTACACAATACTCGCTACTCTCACTGCCTAAATTGGAAGAGCACCAGCTCCAGGAAGAGATGTGACTGTGACATGTCATCACGTCTTTTACTTTCTTCTTCTTTTTTCCTTTGCCCATTGCAGGGGGAAAATGCAACTAAGACTAAAAAGATGCACAAGGATGACAGTGTTTGCCTAAGATGTCCAATGTGAGAGCCATATTGAACCTGCTGGAAAAGGTTTAAATGGCATCTGTTGACTTTCACGTCTTGGTATCTTACCTGGACTAAAAGGGCTGTGTGAGTAGCTTGGTGGAAAAAGGATGTAGGGCTGAGGGCTGAGCTGTCCTACAGTGAGACCCCTAAGTTCAGCCAAGACTGGAGAAAAGATGTGGGCTGAAACTATGTTGAATTATCATGAATTTCAAAGTAAATG